TTTTGACTGCTGAGGGCGATGCTGTCTCTGTCACTTATAGGCTGTGGCTCCCTGGGCGAGCTGCTTACCTGTGGCCTCATAAATAAAAGGCAGCCAGGAACACTGCACACGTCATGGGTGTGGTGAAGGCGTAGGGACGCCAGGCGTGCAAAAGCCTTGGCATGGTGCTAGAGCCTGTGATCCTTGTCCTCAAGAAAGATTTGCTTTTATTTTTACCTAGCTAATCCAGATGCCATCAGATACAACTACCTAGATGTGATATGTGGAGGATGAAGCTCTTGGTACCTAAGGCCTCCTCACCAGGAACGGTTGGAGAGCCTCGTCTGACTTGGCAACTGGAATGCCCCCGGCAGCTCTGGGCTGTCTTCTCTGCGAGTCTGCCACGCTGGCAGGAGCGTCTCATGCCACTGAGGCTGGCAGGACCGTGTGCGTCTATCCAGCTCCGGATCTTGGTCTCTTCCTATGCACTTGCCTAAATCCCCCTTTAACTGAGTGTTTATGGAAAACAAAGAGCTCTGCTTCTTTCTGGAATGTTCGATGGACTTCTCGTCATCTGGAGCCTGCAGTGGCTTTTCTCCCTGTGAGGCCCTGGGGCGCGCTGTGCTCACTACCTGAGGCCTCTTTGCTGCACCAGCTGCTTCTGTTAACGTAGTGGGTCAGGGAGAGCAACTCATTGATCGAGGTGGACACTTAGGCTAATGAAGAGGCTCTCAGGGGACACAAACAGGACACCTCTGTGCTCCCAGGGTGCCTCTGCTGGACTCCTGGGGGCAAGCAGTGGAAAGCTACTCCCGGTGGCTTGATCAGGCGGGGAACTTGTTTCAGAAGCTAGCAGACGAAGGCGAGGCACAAAAATGGGGACTCGAATGCCCTCTGGACTCTCTTGCCTCCCTTCTCTGCTTCCCTCTGAAGGGAAGTTTGCTTCTGCTCTCTGCAGACTGCCATTCTTGGCCTTGCTGCTGCTCAAGGCAAACAGACAATGTGGAAAGTGGCTGTGGAATGAAAGACTACCTCTATCATCGCCAATTGTAAATTCCTTCATGGGTCAAGCATCTGTCCAGGTCCAATCAGCTGAGACTCGAGGGTAAAAGGATGCCTCACTGCACAAAATGGCTGCCAGGGCCCATGGCTCTGGATTGGGAGGGAGGAGCAGTTACTAGCAAAGAGGGAATCACTGGGAGCTGGGTGGACACCCCAGACAGTGACTGTACACTGTCAGGCCTTCGCTGCAGAAGCTCAGGTCCTGTAACCACATTTTCTCAACCCTGCTATCACATGGAGGGCCCTTCACAGTGACTCTTCCTTTTAGTCTTCCTTGTAAGTGTTGCCCATTTTGTTAGCAATAACCAGTATTATAATTTCATTTAGGACTTTACACTTGGGGATGCTCATTAGATATCTCCAAAGAAAAATACTGATAAAGCAAACAACAAACCCTATTACACGTCTTTAAAGCGCTACCCCCACCAGAAACACAACTGCTTTTTGTGAATGAGTATAGCAATGCTATTTTAAAACAGATGTCTAGTAGCTTATGTGTTTTGGAAATTTTTTCTACCATAACATTTTTTAAAAATACCAATAGATAATACAAAACAGTGTCATATCCTAGAAATATGGCTGATGTATCTTATTTCATGAACACTGACAGTGACTGCTGGATATTCTCTTCCAGCATCAAATCAGCAGCTCACTGAATTCCAAATGCAAATACAAAGCGCCACACGCCTTCTGCAGGCTCCCTTTGCCGTGTAGACTCCATGGGGTGGGCTTCGGGCCTGAATCAAAACCTGGGGCAACAAAGACATGAGGCCTGGCCAGGCTGCACGTCTCCTCCGACGCCGCCCTGCACACAGAGGGGCTGGGTGCATGTTCCCATTCTGCCATTTACTGCATGGGGCGTCCTTCCCATTTCCTCTACCTTACTTCCCCACCAGCACATGTGTTACCTACATCCTATAACACTTACTGTGCATAAAAAAAGAAACAAAAGTATATTGCAACTTTTTTCCTTAAGGTGTTAAAAAAATTTCTTTTTCACATCTTAAAAACCCACCAAACTTTTATTCCCAGCTTGTGACATCCTCAACCTGCTTTATTCTTTTTTTCCTCTTCTTTCTGTCGAAAACAATTGGACCTTAAGAAAGTAATTTTCATGTTTGGAGTAAATTATCATCAGCAACTGGGTGCCTATTTTGAGTATGGGCTTAACTACAGTAAACATAAAACACGAAGTTTGCTCATTAGAAGCTTGGCTGTTCTTTGTTTGTATTTAATGCTTGTACTTAATTACAATTAGTTTTTCCCAGAGGAAACTCACCATTAGGATGTAACCAGCACCATCAACAATAGTAGTTAACATTTACTGGACACCTGTTATGCACCAGGCACTGCAAAATAACCTTCTAAGGTAGGTTCACTGTTAAACCCAAAGATAAGAAATTGAGGCTTAGAGAGGTGAGTAACTTGCTCGAATGGTTCCACGGTCAACAAGTGACAAAGCCAGGACTTGCACTCAGAGTGGCCTAAAGCCAATGCTGCAGCCACTACTCTACGAAGGCTTCAAATTCCATTCCTTCCAGGACACATTAAGAAATAAGAGAGAATATGACAAAAACTACATTGTATAGCGACTGCAGGAAACTGAACTCCAGAAATCATAACGAAAGCTCAGGAAATGGATCAATCTGACTGTGGAATGATTTAGCTGGGTCGAAGGCCACACAGAGGCTTTGCATTCCAGTTACTTATGGCTACACTGTGGCCTCCAAAAAAGGGACTGGGGGATTGCCACATGGGCTACTCTGGTCTGAAATGAGAGTAAGGCTATCTTTTGGTAAGAATAGGAGCACAAGTAAAACAAACCACAAATGAATTGCTTCATAACTGGTACCTAAAGTACTATTTTAAAAATTGAGCAAGGCCTGGCATTGTGGCTCATGCCTTTGGGAGGTGAAGGTGGGAGAATAGCTTGAGCCCAGGAGATCGAGACCAGCCTGGGCTCTCAAGCCTGGGCAACACAGCAAGACCTCATTTCTACAAAAAAACCAAAAAAGAAAAATTAGCTAGGCATGGTGGTACACACCTGTGGTCCCAGCTATTCAGGAGGTTGAGACAGGAGGCTTGCTTGAGCCCAGAAGGTCGAGGCTGCAGTGAACTGTGATCATACCACTGCCTTCCAGCCTGGGTGACAGAGCAAGACCTTGTCTCAAAAATAAAAATAAAAAAATTGAGCAAAATAATTGGTTTTGTATCTTTTGTAAAAGATTCACTTATTGTAAATTATCTATCCTATAAATGGTATCAGGAAAGCTGGTTAACCGTTTAGAAAAATAAAAGTTTGATCTTCTCATCTCACAACACCATAATTACAATTCCAGATGGAACTAGAAAAAAATGTTTAATAATAAACAACTTAAGAGAAAATGTAAGTAAATATTTATATAATCTTTTGATGGATAAGAACTTTTTACACGTAAAAGCAATGGACAAAAATTAATGAAAAAAAGTTGGATATTACAAAACAAAAAATATAAAATAACTTTATGCCCCACATATGATGAAGGATAATAAAAGGCAGATAACAACTTGAAAAATTTGTAACAAATATGAGATAAAATGGATTAGTATTTTGGGTATATAATTAGCTAATCATTTATATGAGATTTTTACTATTTATAAAATGCCAACAGAAAAAGTGGACCAAAAAAGAGTTGAACAATTAAGAGAGGAATACAAATGATTAACAAATATAGGAAAATATTTTGTTTCACCAGTCATAACAAATGCTCTAATAAATCGATGCAAATAACTATAATTGTGCCATGTAAAAAAGGGTTAAAATATTAAAATAGTATATGACAATGGCAGAATTTTCTTAGTATATATGCATGCAAGTTTATCCTACACATTTTTAAAAACACTAGAAAAAGGATATAAAAATTATCTCTGGTAAGCCTGGTGCCAGGCACAGTGGCTCACGCCTGTAATCCCAGCACTTTGGGAGGCTGAGGCAGGCGCATCACCTGGGTTCAAGACCAGCCTGGCCAACATGGTGAAACCCCAACTCTACTAAAAATACAAAAATTAGCTGGGTGTGGTGGCGCATGTCTGTAATCCAGGCTACTTGGGAGGCTGAGGCATGAGAATCACTTGAACCCAGGAGGCGGAGGTTGCAGTGAGCTGAGATTGCACCACTGCACTCCAGCCTGGGTGACAGAGTGAGACTCTGTCACACACACACACACACACACACACACACACACACACAAAGCCAGGCATGGTGGCATGTACCTGTAGTCCTTGTGACTCAGGAGATTGAAATTGGAGAATCCCTTAAGCTTAGGAGTTCAAGTCCAGCCTGGGCAACATAGCGAGATCTTGTCTCTAAAACAAAACCAACTCTCTAGGTGGTAGAATGATGGGGAATTTAAATTTTACTCCTTACAGCTTTCTTTTCTAAAATAAAAACCCACTACTTCTAATAACAAAATCCAATACTTTCCGTATGTAAGAAGCAAAGAAAGGAAAGAAAAAAGAGGAAAAAACGGAAGGAAGGAAAAAATGAAGGAGGGAAGGAAGGACGGACGGAAGGAAAGAATTCTTCACCTTCGAGAGGTTAGGAGGCAATGAAAAGTTTAGAGTGATAAAGGTCTAGTGTTCAGAATATATAAAGAACTCTTACAGCTGAACAAAAAAAAGAGAACTCAACTGAAAAGTGGGCAAATGACTTAAATGTTTTTCCAAAGGAGTACATAAATGGCCAAAAAGCACATTAAAAGATGTTCAACATCATTTAGTCATCAGGGAAATGCAAATTGAAATCATGATGAGACACCGCTTCACAACCATTAGGATGGTAAGAAAGAGAAAGTAAGAAAGGGGAAGAAGGAAGCAAGGAAGGAAGGAAGGAAGGAAGGAGGGAGGGAGGGAGAAGGAAGGAGGAAGGAGGAAGGAGGAAGGGGGAAGGGAAGGGAAGAAGGGAAGGAAGGAAGGGCGGGGGGCGGGCTAAATGGGTATGCAGCTTCTTCTGGGTAATGGAAATATTTTGTAACTACATAGTGGTGGTCATTACATTAAGTACCACTGAATTGCCCTCTTGAAAATGGCTTGAAACTTTATGTCATGTGAATTTCACCTCATTTAAAAAAAAGGAAAAAGAACACCCTTCCCACATCACCAGAAAAAGTTTGGAATGGCCCTTCTGGAGTGTCAGCAGCTGAATGGAGAACAACTGAAAATAGATTTGTAGCACATCCTTGAATCTGAGACCTGGGATTCAGAGGTGAAACATAAGCAGAGCAAGTCCTGCCTGTGAAGAGATTCTCCTCCTGTCGTCTGGTATGAATTTTTTGGATCTGTTTTTCCACAGAATACACCTATGGGATATTTTAACAGATACAGTTTCTGTATTTTTATTGGGGCATAGGGTGAAAAAGTGATTTTTAAAACATAATTCAAAAGCCCACTGATAAACATACAAAGTTTGAAATTATGGCTAGTTTTATCTAACTTTAATTTTCATATTGACTGATGAAAAAGAACTAAATCATCATCTAACAAAATTATTAGCCACTCAAGGAAGCATACCAACAGATCATAATAGCTATTTTTCACAGTTGCTTAAAAATGTGTCAGAACAGTTGAATGTAATTTTAATTAAACAAATTTGCAATTATGAGTATAATAACTGCCTTGACATTTTTACATTATAGCTTGAGCTAGAAGGAAAAAAATTTTCCTTTTATTGCAAGAAGCATGAAACTTAAGTACAAATATTATTTAAAATAGTTAAACAGTGTAATTATAATATGTAAAATGCATAAATCAGGCCACATGTTATAGGGTTGAATTGCTGACCTCCACTTGGTCCAGCCACTGGCTGAGTGAAGCTGGCTGTAGGGCAGAGTGGTATCCAAGATCTTAGACAATCCCAGCCACGGAAGAAGGATTCCACACAGACAGGATGCAGGAGCACACCCTGCCTTAGATGGCCCTGGCTACACTCTCTAAGAGACATTTGTTTCTTGAGAAGCACTTGAAACAGCTCTGCTCTGAAGGTTACAGGGACCTTGAATTTTGGTTTTCTATTAACTATTAGGATTTTTTCATCTTGAATATCTATATTGATCTCCTTTACTTAAACCATGCTAAGAATAGCTTCCATTCAGACTAGTCATCTTGATAATTTGATCTGTTTAATATTGCCAGATTTATTCCTGTATCAGACATGATATAAATTTATTTGGGATTCATATTTAAATAGATTCTCCTGCAGTAGGAATCCCAAAACTAAGACATTCAATGCATAGGTATTCATTGATTCAATCTGGTTTGAAAAAAAATTCTAAATATAATCAACTCTTATCTGTTTTCCCAGCAATATGTTCCTCACACCTTCCTTTCCCAGCTTTCTTTCTCTTATTTTTGGGAGGCTGTTTTTAGTTTGCGAGGTAAGTGGAGGTCAGGTCTAATTTCAAATTGTGCATACTTTGCATTGTATTGCACTTTGCTTCCCGAGGACTGGCTTTCTCCTTCGGAGGAGGCAATTCTTTGCAGCAGGTGAACAGATTTCCCGGCCAAACGAAACTGAAGGGAAGTAAATGCAACTTCAAGAAGTTTTCTCCCCCATGTGCCATATTAAGAAATGCTGATCAAAGCATCACTCAGAATCCATTCATATTTTCAGGTCTTAATGTGCGTGCTATATCCTTTCTTAAGTTAGACACATTGGCTTTACTTGATGAAGTGAATTGAATGAGGCTTGTCTTAAGTGGGCCACCCCAATGCTCGGGAACTCTGATAGCCAATCATCACGCCTGTGTCATTCTCCCTTCTCAGACAGGGCTGACAGGAGAGCTTTCAGCCATCTTATCCCATCCTTCAAGTGAGCTATACGAGGATGAAAAATCAGAATGGGTAAATGACAGCAACGTGAAACTTCCCTGCAGTATTATTCCAAATGTCTATTACCAGACACATAACTATGAAGAGGCGGGTCTGTTTCCAGAGTCAGGACGTTTTGCTTGCTCCATGAGACACCAACCCTTTGCATAAATCCATTAAATCAAGTATTCTCTAGTTATGAACATTTGTGGAATAAATATAAGTAAAGGCACAACAGGGGGGATATTTAAAGAAACATGATCATCCAAAGTATTTTTCTACCACTGAACTGACTACTAGAAGACTACTCATCGTCAAATCCATGTGGTCTGCGCGTTTTCTGATGACACTACAGTCTCGCTCCTGCAAGAGACTCTACCTTCCAAAGGCTTTCATTCCCAGTCTCTGCTCTTTGCCTTCTTCCTCCTGGGTCCTCCTTCTTAGTTCCTCACTCACTCTCTCCACCATCCTTTAAACCGTGGTGTTCCCTCGGGTCCTTTCCTCACCTTGCTCTTCACCTGTTCTAGACATTCACCGGGCATTTAGGTCATGTCTGGAGCTCTCGTGGTCAAGAATACTACACATTCCAATACTGGCCTCTCTCTGCTGAGCTCTTACAGTAACATTCCCCTGTGTCCTGCCTCAAACTCAGGAAGTCCAAAAGTCACTAAATCATCTTCTCCACCAAAGCACTGCTGCCGCTACTTAATCCTCATCTCCATTCCAACCACCAACCTCTCGGCCACACAGGTCAGGACTCCGGGAGTTACGTGATTTCTTCATCCCCACGATCTCTCCTTTGAACTGCCCCCTTTCCCATAGATTTGAGCTCCTGTCTTTTTTTTTTTTTATTGTCAGCTTCTCTCCACCAGGCCCCTGGCACTGACTCAGCCCAGACTCTCATTTCCTTTCACTCAGACTATTTATTAAAAGTTTGCTTGACCTGTTTTCCAACCACCAACCTTACCCTTGGCCAACATAGTTAAGATAGGTAATCATTTAAAAACTGCACATAGAATTATTTAATGACTCTCCACATTTTCTACCAGGAAAGCCCATATTTGTATAAGGGAATACAGGCTTTAGGATCTAGCCCCTCATCTCTCCAGCCTCGTTTTCCCAACTCTCCCATCCTCCCTATTACGCTGCTCACACTAAATCAGTCTCACATTTCTGTCCTTATACGTGGGCAACATGTACAAAGACAGACGTATAAATTCTACCTGAAATTTCTAGGCCCCTTCCATATCAAATTCCTATTTGTTTTTCAAGATTCAGCTGAACCACAATCTGCAAACATTTCTTGAGTATATAAAGCAAAGTAAGGTGCTACCCCTGTTTGAAATCATGGTGACACGTTTCTAATTCAAGATATTTTTTCACAATGAATCACATATATCTATGCGATACCTCCTATCAGACTGTGAGCTCCTTGAGGACAAGCACTCATTTTTTAAAAGTTACTTTTATGTCTCAGACCATAAATATCACAGATGGCAGAGTGTCTCACCCATGGTGAGTGTTTAATGCATTCATGGGTCATCCCATGTTCCCAGGAATGGATGTGTTACAACCTGACATCGTGTTGATTTTCAGCTGTTCTAGCTATAAGGAAAAGAACCCTTTTTGGTTCATACTGAAATGGTCATCTCAGCCTCAACCCTGTGGTGCTCCAGAGTTCTCTCACAAAGAAGTTGATCACTTCAACCTCTTACCTCTTCCTTCTTGTCCTCTTCTAGTGCCTGAAGTCTGCAATTGCACGTGTTTTAGAACTCATTTGATCTCAAGTGATGGCAATGCACATGAAACCAGCTTAAACAACAGGAGAATTACCACTGGCTTAGGGAATCGGAGGAAGGGCTGGATAACCAAGCTGTGGGAAGGGCAGCATGCCAGGACGCCAGCGAACCAGGGACTCAGGCACACCAGCACTTTCCCTCCATCTCTCATCTCTGTTCACCACATTCTCCCCTTGATGGGAAACGTGGCCGTGGTTCCTAGGTACTCACAGCTTCAGCTGCTGGAGGAGTAATCCAAGCGGCCTTTGGTTTTCTGTCCAAACATTACAGAGAAGAGGCCTCGCCTGCCCAGCTTTGCTGGGTGCCCATCTTCAGATCTGTCCACGGGGCCAAAGCATGGAGTCTCGCTCTGCCAACATGGAGGCTCCCTTACTGACCAGGCACGTGGGGGAAGAAGCTGCTTCTACAAAGGGGTTCTGAGAGCCCGGGCCAGAGGTTCACAGTGGTTTGGAAATTACACCTTCAAGAGACCTGAAGTTTCTCTGCTTTCCCTGTACAGACAAGCATTTTACTTCCTTTAATGTTACCTTCCTTCAGAAATGTTCCCTGCTCCTCATCTGTGGCAAACAAACGAGCAGACTTACACACAAACACGTTACAATTCGACTCCCTGAATTTCTCTCCGACCCTGTGATCTCCGTGCTTCCTATCAGAAAGGGTTTCCCAGGTAACCGTGACTAATTTACACACTTCCTACCGTTTTCTGCTCCTGGAAGCTAAAGAGTTTTAAACTATATTTTGTATAGGATTTGACTAACCTTGTTAAAAGCACTTTTCTTTTTTTCCCTTTTCCCTATCTGAATATTTGGCCAGAACCAAATTATTTTTATATCAGCAATTTACTAAGAACCCAACTTACTGTACACCCAACTTCTGTTTCTAAGGAGTGTTCTCCACCCCAGTCAGTTTCTCCCTTTTAAAGAAATCATCATCATGGACAGTAAAGAGTTCTGGTCACCTAGCTGGAAAACACTGCCAACTGAGGTTAAGTTGTGGCCTGTGGAGCAAGTTAGGTCAGTTACATCTGGAGAAAAAATAATACAACATATGCTGTTGGTGGGATTTCTTTCTCTTTATCATTAATTCATCAAAAATATGTATTGAGTACTTATTCTGCTGTATATCCCAAATGTAGTGGAAAGCTAAAGACCCAGTACTTCATAGTAACTTAGTGCAACGATGAAAAGACATATAAACACCATGCAATGTGGCAATTGCTATAACAGAGAAATGGGTTAGAAATGCTTATTCCATCATCAATGCAGAATTTCAAAAATTGTATGCCATGTGCATTGCTGGACAGGCAATCTGCTGGGAGAAATTAGCATATTTAATGAATTATGAGATAAGCAATTACTCTAGTAACATTCTGTGTAAATGTCTAGACCACAGCTGTCATGCCTTATATAAATATTTCACCTGCTTAATTTTCACTACTTGTTTCTTCTTTCTTCATCTTACTACTGTTATTTCCTTTAGGGGGAAGTGAAAGCAAAGAAAAGCAGCCACATCTGTCAAACACAGAATCCAAAACCTACTGTAGGGTATGCCTTCATTCCCGAGAAGCAGAACACAAATTAGGCTCATCTTATAAAATAGAGTCATGCACTGCACAACGGCATTTCAGTCAAAGAAAGACTGCATATGTAATGATGGTCCCATAAGATTACAGTGGAGCTGAAAGCTACCTCTCATCTAGTGACATTATAGTCCATGTAAAGTCACAGAGCAACACATTACTCGTGCATTTGTGGTGATGTAGTGTAAACAAACCTACTATGCTGCCACTTGTATAAAGTATCTTTAGATATGTTCAGATACACATATACTTAACACTGTGTTACAACTGCCTACGGTATTCAATACAGTAACATGCTGTGCAGGTTTGTAGCCTTGAAGCAACAGGCTACACCGTACCCCATACAGCCTATGTGTGCAGTAGGCTGCACCTTCTAGGTTTGCTTAAGTACACTCTATAATACTTGCATAACAAAAGCTAATGATAGATTTCTCAGGATGCATCCCCATCGTTCAATGATGCATGACTCTAGCGATGCTCACAAAAGATTACTAGGCAACTGGAATTCTGTTGATGTCGTCCTCATTTCTGAACTGTGCTCCCACGTAAAAGAATTTAGTCAAAACTGAGATCTAATCAGGTCTGAGGTGAAATCTCCAAACCTTTATTTGCATGGGTTTACCTGGAGGGGAAAGCCTAAGGAGGATTTGGGAGAGGGGCTTTGCAAAGCTGGTAGAAAGGTGGGGCTCAAAGCTGAGCTGCTTAAGTCCCAGGTGACAAGCGGGCAGTGGGGAAAGGCAAAGCTCTGAAATACAATTGGACACCATCATGGCCCCAAAGCCTCAACGGTGGTGTCCTCTGGGGGCCCAGTGGGAGTCACTGTCATCTCCAGTGGAAGTTAGCTTACTGTGGACACCCCCTGAGACCTACAGAAACACTTTTGGGGGGCTCTGCGGGATACTGGGGTCCATGACACCAGGTAGGTGGCGATGCACTTGGGCTATCTGAGTATGAACATTATTACGTACCCTCATCTGGACCCGCAGGCTGGGGATGTCTGAGTTTGAGAACTCATTTCCTAAGTGTCTGGTTAGTGCCTTTTCCTTGAGGTAGTTCCCACTAGAAAGCAGGGATTCCCTTATTTGTACTAGGCTTCCTTCGGGCGTTATCTTCTTCCTGTGAATGTCATGGAACATTCTGCCTTGCTTTTTTCTTACTAGACACCCAATTAAATTCCAATCATGATAACACCTTCCCTGGCTCTAAACTATACATGAATATGTAGATTACTATGAAGCTGTACGCTATTAAACAAAACAAAAAACCAGTTGAAGCCCCTGTAAAGACCTGCTCGATGCCTGGATGTTTCTAACTTAACTATCCCCACCACCTGCGCATCTGAGATTCAGCCTTGTTGTGATTCCAAGCCCAGTCCTACCTCTCAGGAGAGACCATCTGGAGCTTGGCCAGTGGCTCACCATCAGGGCAGGCAGGCAGCCTTGCTGATGATCCTGCTGTAACAGCAGGGTCCCACAGCCCAGGGAGTGATCTCCACATTCCTCTATAATTGTGCCTTACCTAGGACTCCACTCTGCCAGTGACTGGATTGCTGTCCCCCTAAGCCTTATTTCTCTGTGACCACTTGTCTGCCCCGCCACACATGTGCAGTGTCCACTGGCCACTTGTCT